AAAGTCTGTGGGAGCGTACACAGAAACCACGAATAAGCATCATTCATTTGGTTTCTGCTTTTTGACCTCACTTGACCCTCTGAGTCTTACTGCGCATAGTCGGCTATCTATCGGGATCCAATCCAATAGACCGGCCTCGGCCCTGGCGCTCAAGGTAATATCAACGCCTGCTTGACCAGACGCTCAAGCGATGGAGTCCCCAGAGGCGCACAGTTGAAACGCTTCTTTTGGGTTGGAAGGAGAAGTTAATCGGATCACCGAGCTCGGACCTTGGATGCGTGTTTCCGAGAGGTAACACACATCAATCTCTAGACTTTCGAGCGTACGAGCCGAATCTGCTTGCCCTATACGCATTACAGTTCTAACGTTGAACGAAGCCAGTTTGATCGCAGAGTGAGGTCGGAGGAATGGAACGGTAGGCACTGAGACAGATGTCAAGGAGGATAGCGGCGAGCTACACCGTGAACCCACGTCAGTGGAACCGTTCGGGGTGGAACAAACAGTTGAAAAAATGGGGGGTATTGTGTGGGGGGTTGAAAAGTTGCGTGCAGATTTTAAGAGAAAGCTTTGCGGAAGTGTAATATTCCGTGACATGCGTGTATGTGTATGTTCATAAGTCCGGTAAACTGCTTCACAGTGTATATTTGCTGGAGTGACCTATCCAGGGGCGGGTGTGGAAGCCAGGTGCCTAAGCAGATGACCCTATGAGACTGAGCTGCGTCTGGCCCCTACTCATTGACCATTCACACATGATTAGATCTGCGGTTGATTAGCCATCCTGTACAAATCGCAGGGTCATGGAGGTGCCCCAGCAATCACACTACCTCAAGATGTAGTCTCATGCAATACGATGAAGCAAACTTAACTGGTTGCTAATAAGCGCACAATGCATATAAAGTAAATGATAAAATGATAAACGAATAAGGATCGGACCCATTTTGAAGGACGGGAAAAAGAAAGTGAACGACTATGATTATCATCTGTCGAAATCCCGTGCCCCGTGAAAAAACAACGAACACAAAAAATATCAAAAGGTGTAAGATGAAACACAAAAAAAATTTGTTATCCTAGTTATCTTCCATTTCCCCGTGTTTAACTATTTCACTCCCTTTTCACTCTGTTCTGTACCCCAATCCACCTATCCCCTTTCATTGTTATTGTTATTATTGTTGTTGCGTCGGCACCATGCTTGTCTACAAACCGGTGGTAAATATACATCATCTGACTATTCATACATATCTGTTCATACATTGGGAAGTGATAAGAAGTGACGACAATAGTGCTGCTGCTGTTGTTTTGCTGTCGCGTACTTTAGTGGTTCAAACCAACCAGTCACAGTCTTGAACACTCCAACCCCAAAACACGGGAGACACCTACTCTACCTAATCGCTCCGAGCATTTCCCAATTACCAGTCTCCAACCACCTGTTGGCCTATACGTGATTCCTACCAACCTGGAGTAGCAATTGTATTGCATACAATTGTATTGCAATACAATTGCCAAGCTCGGCGAAGAACTGAACATCATATTATACCACCCGAGCTACAAAAACAACAATCAACATCGTTGTTTACCAAACTGTCATATATATATATATATATATACAACAATACGGAGTGCAACGCTTGGAAGTAACCAACCTGAGGAACTATGGGACGGGTAGTCACTGCCTGAGACACCATCATAATGTGAGCCAACACGCAACGTAGGCATGGAAAAATTGAAGTGCGGTTCGACCAAACCGTGGTAATAGCTCGATTGTGGATCCGGTGTCGTGGCTGCCGTGGATAGTTGACTGGGCATGCTCACTGAATCGATGGAAGAGGCGCGATCTAACTGAGGTGGAGCCGGACTGCTACACTCTGCCGATGTAGAAGACGCAGGCTCTATTTGTTTGGACTGTTCTGGAGGTTCCAGCGTTATATCCCTAGTGGCTGTTTTCTCAGGAGACCCCCCGTGAGTTTTCCTTGATAAGGAACCTGACGGAGATGAGGCAGAATCCATAGGTTGCTTCGACTCATCTGCCGGAGCAGACCGTAGCCACATTGTTGAACGTCTTGATCGTGTTGTTGAGATAGGTCGAACGGTGCGACAGGAGCTCGTTCGTTTTACAGTAACGCACAGTTTCGGCGACTGGACGGATGCGTTTGGGCGGCGATT